TTTGTATTACAGCTTGAGAGCGAGAAGGCTAGTATTCATCTCAGAAAAGCAAGACTTGGAGCAAGAGAAATGTTGCATTCGTGAAGAACTGGTGCGCACCGAGCAAGAAAAGATGGACACTGAGACCGAGAAAATGGGATTGGACCAGAGTTTGAACCAGGCTGAGGTCAACAGGGAGAAGTTGGAGGATGAGATCAGTGGAATCAATAGAGAGAAGGCAGAGATCTTGAGCAACTGCAACAGGTAGGTCTTGCAATTAGGATAGGGTAGAGCCATTGTATTTGATGAGATGGAATGAGAAGAATACTGTAAATAGATTAATTGTTCACTGGGTTTTAATTTTGCTTATTTTCTGACTCGAAAAATGAGCCAAATTAAAACCCAGTGATTATGTAAAATTGAGCATAGAACACATAATCTAAATGATAAAACCGTGAATTTCAAACCCACGCCTGAAATGCTAAATCAGCGAAATTTAAACCCTGTGAAAATTAGTCATTTTACAGTATGCTTTACAGAGAAAAACATGTGTGTGAGGAGGAGAAGGAGGAGGAGGGTGTACAATCTCTTCTCTAACAAGAATTCTAACAAATTCTAACTTGGCCACCCCCAGCAAAAGTAATGGTTCATCCCTACACTTGGCCACCCCAAGCAAAAGTAATGGCTCATCCCTACACTCAAACACTACTTATTCAACTGAACTTGAAAATGGCTTGTTTGTCAATGTTTTACAATGTGAACACAAATGTGTTGTCATATTTCAAAGTCGGTAAGATAATTTTAATCACAAAACAAACAGCAGTGGGTTCAAGAATATTTGCTGGGCGTGTTCATCATCAAACACTGTAATCATATTGAGTAGACTACATGCATGGAACTTACTGTAAGTTTGTAATTCTTTAGACAAGCCGTACGAAGAATGCCTTAGCTGAGGAGCTTCTGCAGACTCGCCGTGAGGTGGAACGTCAAAGTGATACCGTTGTTCGTATCGCTAAGGAGAAGGAGGAACTTACACGTGACAAGGCTAGCTTGATTGTGCAACTGACTGCTGCCGAACGAGAGAACAGATCTCAATCTGAGGTGAGCAATTTCATCCACATTTCCAGGTTTCTGGTAAACATGGTATTCTAATTTTTCCTCTCATGCTGGTTGAAAGTTGATTCATGACATACACTGCTACCTGCAAAGTTTGGTTGAAAAAAATAGAGACTGTACTTGCTCTATTCACAATGTATGCGCTTACTAAAATTACAGAGGTCTTTTTATGTTCAAAATAAATATTATTTCAATGATTTAGTATACAACAAATATTTGTTTAATTTGCTCTTTTATTGGAGATGTGCTTTTAATAATATTATAAACGGCTATGACCGAGACTGAATGAAAAATGGAAAGATATAAAACTTCTACATTGCTCAGAAACCTAAATTGAAAATTAAATGTAGACTACAGTTTGTTTTAATTTCATAAACTTTTGTTTATTCCGTTGTTTGCAATGAGTTGCATTCCAAGCATGAGAAATATTTCTTCAATTCTTTTCTTAATTGTCTAATTTGAGTTGATTTTCCAGCAGTATAATGGAATACTTTTTTTCTTTCTATTTTTACTTCAGGGGTAAATCAGTAAACTTAATTACATGCATGTTATTTATGTCAAATCTGTGAAAATAAGTTATTCAGCAAAAATGAATGGTTAAAAGTGAAGGTGATGTGTAATTTTTGTGCTTGGTGACAGGGACTCTATCAACAATATTTTATTGTCACCTCACATTGGGGGCAGTATTTTAACTTTTATTGTTAAGTATGCTTGGAGTGCAAATGAATCCTTGAAAATAGCCATCCTTAGTGATTACTTGTTGCTGCTACTAGTCTTTGAGAAGTTATTTGTAGTCAAGTTCCAATGTTTGTTGCTAACTCTAAAATTGTGGCCATACTTGACCTGTGATCAGATATCAGCCATGTTTAAAAGCAATTTACTTAAGACTTGTGTACTTCGTTGGTACCTGCAGGTCATTGCGTCTCAGAAATCAGACAAAGAAGCATTGGAAGGTGCCCTGTACGAGTCTCAACAACTTGTAGCTAAGCTTGAAGCCCGCAAAGACCAGCTCGAATGCGAAGTACAAGAACTGCAGCTTGCTAAAGAAGCTCTGAACGGTGAGTGTACTTATTTTAGTCTACCCCTCTGTTAAGTCCTAAGGGTCATGTCTGTATATGTTGGCCTGTTGCCACATGGATTACTGTGGATATCGACAACTTACAGTACATGTCTGTACACATGCAGCCATTTTTAAATGTCCCCACTGTCAACACGTTGATCCTTAGTGACTGGTTTGTACCGCTTTAGCATTGATAAGCACACCCTTCAGTTAGCGTCCTTTACCATGACAACGTAATCAATTTAACCATATAAGGGGATTTATCAATCAGCCCGTACCAATGTAGCTTTGTTACTGTGACAGATAAGTATGTGTTTAAAAGGTTAATGATTGCTACATTCTTGGCACCATTCCAAGTTCCTCCCATTCTTTTGGTAGTTGTAGTATTTAATAAATCTGTGTCTTTCCTTATTTAATTCTTTTAAAACACCCCTGTGTGTGAATTATTACAACAGATATCCTAAAATTAGTTTACTAATATTTTGATCATATTTTGCAAATTAATATCAATCAATCTACTCAGTTTTAAATAATATTGTTACAGTATTATTACATGCTTTGGTCCCATAAGAATAAACTTTTGTTTTACAAATGTTTACGAATTCACAGACCTTTTACACTGGTAAAATTTTATTGGGAGCCTGTTCACTTTCTTACAATAAATAAACTATGTTGACCTAGTTTAATTGATATTCATATTTGTTCAGTATAGTCTGGTTTAGTGTCATGTTCCAAATTTGAGCCTAGTCTAACAACAACTTATAAGGCATTTCAAAAACAGAAAAAATGAAAATACAGTATGTGTGGAGGTTCATCATCATAATGCCAACATCAATCAAGCTTCACTGCTAAAATTGTGTGGATTTCAGGATTACCCCTGGTATAATAGAATTTGAAGTTCCTCTGCTGCCATAATTGTGCTTGTGTTTGTGTATGTACATTATACTTTTCGTTACAACCCAACTTGTATGTTTATATACCAATAAATTTTTGAAAGCTGCTCAACATTTAGTGCGTATTTACAGTTGCGAAATAGCCACATTGGGCAAAACTGAAGTGTTTGTTGGAGTCGATTATTGTTGGTTGCTTGGTGTGATACGACCATGATCTTTAGAGCGTGCCATATTTCATTTGAAGGAACTGCATAGTGCATATAGGAAACAGAATAAGAGGAGAATTTGTGTATTAATACGCAGTTTTATGATGAAAATATTCGTTGAAAAATAGTACTAAATGTAACAGCTACTCCCTCATTATTTAAACTATTTATTTTCATTTGCATGCTATCATTTATTCTCCATATATGAATTATGCCTTTATATATATGTATGTTCATTTTCAATTTTGTCATTTTCATGCAGTTGACTTGGCTCGTGTGCGTAAGGAGATGGAAATTGAGATCACGAAGAGAGACAGAGATCTTGAACTGATACATGCTAAATATGAAGAATTGGAACGCAGTAGCAGCGTTGCCCTCAAGCAGCGTGAACAGGCTCACGAGGAAGATGTGGAGAGGTTGACCGGTGAAAGGGTAAGTTCAAATCTTGCCACTGGTGGCAGTATTTTCTATATTATATAATGTAGATACGAATCTCAAGGCTTTGTGTTTTGAATCAATAATATACAGATCTTAACTATTAATTGTAAATCAACTTTTAACATTTTCACCACCAGCCTTTCTCGCTAAAATTTTTCTGTACCTTTTTCTTATATTATAACAATATTTCTGAAAATGCATCCTAATTTTGGGGCCAAATTGCAAAATTTGAGTCAATTTTCAGTTTTTACTCAAAAAATTTGCCTATTTTTGTCCCAATCTTTTGAACCAAAGTGCAGACTATAAATGGAACTATTTTGTGAATTTGTGATGAATAGAGGGAAGTGGTGGTGAAAAGGTTAAGGCATTTCCATCTGAAGGTCTCTAACTCCTTCTCCAGAATTAAAGCTTAAATTAAAGTTGTTTGTGTTACATGAATGAACACCATTATTAGCATTTATGGAAACTTTAGAATCATTTATTGCTAAGCAGGGGAGATCACCTATAATGTGACCTTTCAGTTTAAGGGTTAAATAAATTACTTGCTGAACTTTGCATAGCTGATGACGAAAACAAAGTCAGCTTCCCAATTGATTTTTTTTTGGTTTCCTGTTAAATTATCTTTGTTGTTACAACTTGTTTCTACTAATATCTCCAAGTATATTTGCATAAATCTGTCAATTGTGTATTGACATGTAATTAGTGTGTTAATTTATACGTTCAGTCGGTTAAATTATTAACATTTTTGTATATTATACTTTTTTTTAGGACTCTCAACGTCTTGCAATGGAGAGCGAACGTGAGGAGGCAGTCACCCGCCTCACTGCCGAGAAGGACGAGTTAGTTGCAATGTTTGGAGAAGAACGTGCTCAGTTGAACGAGGACATCGCCAACATCCAACACGAGAGAGATGAAAGTCTGCTGATGGCTGAGAATGACAAGCAACAGGTAAACCTACCCTACCCTATTATTGTAAATGGACTGGTCCACTTCATTGTGTAATGTGGGGGAATGCATTATTTTGTAGGTAGTAGTGGGTCTGATTTGATGGGCTCCCACTGCAAGATTTCAGGTTGAGAGAATAGAACTTGGCTCGATATTTTTGTTACTGGGTGAATAATTTTAAAAAGTTTAAGTTTGAAATAAATAATAGTTCTAAAACAATCATGTCAAGAAATTCAAAATATTGTGATTTCATGCACTGCAAAATATATAAGGAATGTAGTACTAACACTTTTTGGATCATAGTCCTTAAAAATAAATTGTTATTGTTTATGATTGATTATTGAAAAAAGATTTTAAAACTAAGCCAAAAAGTTTGAAATATCTAAACACTGGTAGTAATTAAAACACTGAATATTTCATTTACAATGTCTTTATTGGAAATTTTGTGGAAAAAGAAACTATCATGCATGCTCAGTATTGCATTTATTTTTCTTGAAAAAAATGGCGATATTAAATTGCGCTTCCCACCTGACCCAGATATTTTGATTAAGAAGGGTGCATTGGAAGTGTTTGTGGTCTTGTTTGGTAACTTGCTGAGTTGGTTGCTATTGACAACAGTAAACACAGCACAGATAGTGATAGGTTGTACAGTTTATTGCTGTGATTGAAAAAATGCAGGGGACGCTTACTTGGCCTTGTGGTTTGGCACCTTGCCAGATTGTAGGGCATTGTTCAGCTTGGGTAGAAATAACCCATTTAAAGAATAATTCATGACAATAGAATTAACCAGTTATATAGAACAAGAGATAACAATAAAAAAGATTTAAAACTCAGATAAATTATTTATGTTTATTTGATAATGAAAAGCACTTTAAATTTGAAAAGCTGAGCATTTTTGAAGCTCTTCAATCATATGGTTGTCCTGAAGCAAAATTACACGCAGGAGTGCCTCTTGTGACTATGATTATGTGCCTGCCAATAAACGCTGAGTATTTTGTTTAGAAAGAAGTAGTTATCTAGTTTAAGGTAAAGTCACTTGTTCCGCGAACAGGGCTGCACTATCACTCTAGATGGCAATTATTGGCTAGTTTTTGTTTTGTTTTTTGCAGAATTTCGAATCATCGCAATGCAACAGTGGGATTTTGAATCTGACATTTTGTTTTCTTTTTAACAGGCTCTGTCTATTGCACAACAAGAGAAGAACCAACTGCAGGAGAAACTGAACAATGCTCAACACGACATCAGCAACTTGTCTATGGAGCTGGACCGCACCAAGAGAGATGCTTTCAGCAAGGCGGAAACAGACAAGGTAAGAATCGCAACAACTGAATATTTCACCGTACATTTCTCTGTAAAAATTTGAAATTACATGATGCGAGACTAAATTTCAGTCGACCAACATTGGGGGCAGTTTCCAGATCTGTCTCTAGCTTCAGAACTCTTGATTTTTTTTTTGCTGCATGTCTTTAAGTGAAAATATTGAACCTTATCAGAATCTGACAAAAATAATTTGGGTGCGGCTCTACCAACACCTTGTAGATTTATCATATTACTGATATTTACATCAATTGTATTGTCTTATCTTGTCTTACTTTGAAACCAAAAATGCTTTCTAAAACTAAAAAAAATAATTCCTAATATCCAAAACCACCTGAATAATGCTCACATAAAAAAAACCCTGAAAACGCAGAACTTGAAAAAAAATGTCATATTATCTAGAAGTTTAGAATCTGTAAAATGTACTTTTCTTTCCAAATGATTACATTACTGTATTAACTTATCAAAATTGACAATTGAGTTGTGCAATTACAGTTGTATTCTTAAGACATAGATAAAAAAGAAAGGTCAACATAGTTACTACCTGTACAGTTAGGTGTGCATTCCCTATAGGAAGCTATGCCGTTGCTTGGCAACTGTTGTTTAAGATGTGTACATAGAACATAGGAACAACACTGGCTGAGTAAATTAACTGGTTTGTAGTTAGCCATTTAGAGACAGAGTAAAAAAAGCTCCTGCTTAAAATAACAATAGCATAGATGTCACCAATGGGTTTGGGCAGAAAATTCTACGTTTAAGGTCAGAGTGAAAACAGCATGTAAAGAAGGAGGGTGTTGTGATATCTGGTGAGGTGGGAAACTTGTTGTTTAGTTTTGTCGGTGTGTCTTCTACTGAGATGAATTTGGAGAATAAGTACGATCACATGGAATCGATGGCGGTTTGTATTTATTATTTTGTAGCCTTATTTGGTATTGTGATTAGTGGCATGTATGCAGGCCCGTTATCGTCCGAGCCCAACTTGCTGGGAACTTATTCATATCACCTGACATGTGTAAAACATGACTATGTTGTTGTCATTATTAGCACAAACATTCACTGTCAGATCAAATTCCCAAATATTGTGTTATTTTAGCCGTCACTTGCAATGTTACTAAGCTTGCCACAAACTGTCAAATCAATTACTAATCTGCCTTAAGCTATTTGCTTAAACCGTAAACTTCCTAATAAGCATCTAGAAACCGAGGATAATAGGCAGGCTAACAATAGAAACAAGCATCTATTGTACTTCATACACAATACTATATGCATTCATCGGTTTCATTCAGAAAAATAGGTTACTGCTCCTAGTTTTTTTTTTTTTTTTTTTTCCCCTCCCCTCTGTCTTTCTCTATATTCTACACTTTTTCCTTCTACTTTAGTCACCATCTCACCCAGTAAACTCTTAATTCTCCACCTGAAACACGCTTTTATTTCTGTATTATTTACGTCTTTTCTTTGTTTCCTTCACACACTGCATAACATTCAATTGTGTGTGGTGAGTAAAAATGTGCAAGCCATGATTTTAACGATTCACCTTTGAACTTTCATCAGAACAGCCTTCCCAGCATGCACTGTGAAAATATTTCTTTTTAACCAATTAGAAAGCTGCAGTTTTGATTTTGCTTGCATGTTAGTTTATTTTTATTCTGCCCAGGCATGAAGTGTTCTCATGTTTTACACATCCAACAAATTGGTCCATTATAGATGCATAAAAGAAGTTGTTGTTTTTTTTAGATAAAATCTTTTCTCTAGTCAAGTTTTCTTGCCTTATTTTTTGATCTTTTTTAGATGAATAAAGTAAGGAATGAAAATAACCTTCAGTAGGAAAATATAACAAAATCAGATTTGCTTTTACTTTTATATACTGTAAAAACATTCTTGTTAATTAATGATTTCTACTCAGCCTTCAGTTGTTATTAAATTATCTTCTATTGATTTTTGTTAAATAAATTTGTTTTAGACTACCATTAACGCCACTCAGTGTGAACTGAAGGATGTCCGTGCCCGGTTCGAGGATTCCAAGTAAGTTTTAATTATTGATGAATATTTGTTTGTTTATAACTCAGCCTTAACCGTTCTATTCGGTCACTTCAGTCAAAATAAACTATTTGGGGGGGGGAGCTACGTCACAGAATATTCTGTACTGTGTATTATTAAGGGTTCTACGCAAACTGCTGTGGAACGCCGGTCGAAGAGATGGTGAAAACAGGTGAAGTCGAGAAAACATCACAAACTCAACTATCAGACGATCCTGAACAACCAAATTTATATATGTTGTGCATGTAGGGGGTAATATTGCTAAGTTAGATTTGAATTTTATATATTGAATTTTTTTTTATCTTTTCCAGTATTTGTCATGAAAAGGAAATCAAGGAATTGAACAACCAGATCAAAGAATTGATTAAACAGAAAGAAGCTGGCCTCAGAGAAGTCGCTGAACTGAAAACTCAACTGAAAATGGTTGAGGAAGCACGCGACGGCGTTCGCCATGACCTTATCGAGGCTCACCGCAGGATTAGAGAAGGTATGTAGTTTTTCATTATAAGTAGAAATTTATGCAAATTTAAATTCAATATTGTAGTCGTAAAATGAACAGTTGAGGTATATTTCCTTTTCATGCAAATAATTTCAAGTCACATGACCTCATTATGGAATTATTTTTTATGAATGAACTATTATGTTCATCTGTTACATCTACTTAATAATATTTAGGATAATATTCACAAGTTGAGCTAGTTCTGCTAAAAAAAAACATTGTTTTGTTATTATTGTGAATCTTTACAATGTCCACCCAGAGTACACTGCTGTCTTGTAGCAGTAAAAGGTCCTCTGACAAAGCCTGGCCATTTTGGGACGGTTACGCTTCCGGGTCAGATATCCGTTCAGGAAATAGTGAAAAACATATTACAGAGCGAAATGACTCTGTTGATAGTGGATCTAGTTACAGTCGCAGTGCATCGGCAACGAGAAGCAGAGCACATAGTTATGACATTAGTGAGAATTCCTCATATAAATCAGACGGCTTGTCTACAAGCTACAAAGCAAGTGAGAGAAGCAACCTCGGGATCTGCCAGGTTGCGGTGGAGCAGCCATCTTGGAAATGTACAGTCAAAGTAAAAATGTCTTTTGATGCAGGTGATGAAAACCGTGAGATGCTACGAAAAGAAATCATGGATATTAAACGTATCTGTAATGACGAAATACACGAGAAAGAAGCCATCCAGAAGACCAACGATGAACTCCGTACAAAGGTTAAGAGAGTTGAAGGCGATAAGATTGTACTTAGCAGACACATGGAAGACGGAAACCAAAAGATTGCAGGTAAGACAGATGTAGCAATTGTGTAGATTTTTCAAATTCTTTAAAGGTCACATGTTCTTGAACTTTCTTAGAGACAGATTCAATGATATTTTTGAGTTATTTTTTTCAAAAAAATCTGAATTTGAACAAAAATATGTCTCCAGAAAATTCCAGGATGTGTGACCATTAGAGGTCATGCATAATGCATTTTGCTTTCCTCTGCACAGTTTCAAACAAAGAATATCCTTGCCAAATACCAATGAGTTTTGTAAAAATCAATTCTAGCGCTATCATAGTATTCACAAGAAATTTGTTTCTTATGCACTTTTTCATTTCTGACAAAAACTTTTTTTGGTTCATGTACGCAGTTCTTGAGGAATCCAAGGCAAGTGTCCAGAAAGAGGCTTCTGATTTACGATGCAGTCTGCGTGAAGTTGAAAAATCACGTCTGGATGCCCGACGTGAACTGCAGGACACACGTAGACAGGTAGGCATATGATATTATTACAAAATATAAATACATTCACTACCTAAGATTGTACTAAATGATCTGAAAGACTTTGTTGTAAAATCATGTACATCGGTTGAATAACAATTTTATTCCGTGTTCCAGGTCAAACTTTTGGAAGCTGATCGTGCTAAGAAGGGCAAGGAAATAAACGATTTACAGGCTCGTGTTGCCAGGGATGAAGAAATTGCCGAAGAAAACCGAAGAGAAAACTTTGGTCTTAAACAGAAGGTAAAGAACTCTTTTCATGATTCCATGTTCGTGATTTCATTTTTAAAATAATGTGAAGTTCTAATTGTGTACAGCATTTCCTTTCATAATGAGGGCGCTATATCATCTAAACCCAGAAGTCGAGTAACTTTCATGATATGCAGATTGTTGGTATACAATAACAAGTCAGAACGTTACACAATTTAGGAAAGCTCATTGATACTGAGACTCAAATATGCTAAATTAATTAATAACTTAATCAATATTTAGAAAAAATGGCTGATTGGTGTTCTGTCCTCTCTCTTCGACAGCTTGTTGAAACTGAAACAAATCGTGATGGTGCTCGTAAAGAAGCCCAACATCTTGCACGTAAATTGAACGAACTTGATGAAGAACTGAGACTGAAGGAGAAGGACTTCCAGATGGCTTTGGAAGATGCTCGATTGCAGGAGAGGAAATCTCAGGATAGGATTAGATCTCTGGAAAACGGTCTGGAAAACGTTACCATGGAATGCGGTGAAATGAAACTAAAACTCAGCGCTGCTGAAGGTCGTATCAACGGACTGGAAGGACACTTAGCTCAGACTGAAGGTGAGTTTTGTCTCTAAATATTATAGTGTTCAAACATGGTGCCTATTTGCATATTAATGATACTTATATTTCGTTTCAGAAATATGTAGTCAATTACTAGTAGATATAAGAATTGATTTCTGTTTTTTTCATAGGTGCTAAACGTGAAGTTGAATTCAAACTTGGAAGCTTACATTCCACTTTGCGCCGTACTCTCGGAATTGGTACCGGTGCTCGTAGTCCAAGCCCAATGCCATTCCGTGCACGTAGTCAAAGTCCACGTCGCCGTGCTCGCTCACCACTTGGAAAAGGTAAAAAGATGTTCACTTGTTTTTTATCATTTGCAGTGTCTGTTTTGTTTTATATCACTTGCTTCACTTTTAGAAACATCTACTTTAGCGTCATGCTTTAGCAATTATCAAATCATAGTTTGTCAGTTTATGTTCATTACTATTTTCGGAAACATTTTGATAATGCCTCTTTAGAAATTTACTAATATAAAAAAAAAAAATCATGTTCAGATAAAGATATACAGGTTTATGGGCAACTGATTTGCATGATCATGCATACTTTAAAGAGGGTAAAAGTGCTCATAAACCTGATGTAACAAATTTAGGTGTTTTTTTTTCAATATTATAAATTACTGTATATAGTAATTATTCTCATGATTATTTGTCAAAGACTGGTTGTTTTGGTACAAATGTTATGAAGTTAATATTACACTGCTTAAGAAAGGGTAAAATATGTTGCAAGAAATATTTGATTGAATTATACCGTATGTCCTCTTAATGTATCATATTGTGAAATCGCCTGCTTGGCAAAATACATGTAGCGCTTACCATAATTATTAATTTTTCATATTTCCCTCCATTTTTCCTCTGTATCCTTCCCTCTGTGCGTGCTGTGTCGTGTGGTGTGCTATCTCATGCATGTATGTATCCCTCCACCACTCAACCCTCGACATCTAGGTTTTGACAACACCTATACTACCACTACAGATGGCCGCGGAAGTCCCATCCCACGTACAGGTTCACCAGAGAGATCCCGTAGCCCACTGCGTAGCATGTCACCATCCCGTCTGGAACAACTGGTTGCTGATATCGACCCAGAGACTGTGCGCATTGCATTGAGAGACTTTGCTCAACAGCTGAAGGAGACAGAAAGAGAAAAAGTCTGTATTTCTTTACTTGAATTTGGTATTATGTTGATTAAATTGAAATAATTGCATTTTATTAATTCAATAATTGAATATAAATTACATAAATTAATGTATTCATACACCAAAAGTATGACTTATAATAACCATATTGCAACATTCCACTTTATAAGAAGTAATCCCTAATTTTTACAACAATCTGTTAGATTGATAAATGTAATTATTCAAGGCGAAATCAAAATCAAGCGACAGATTTACAAGTTTGTTTCATTAATCTACTTATCTTTAGGATGAATCTATCAGTAAAGTTCGTTCCTTACAAGAAGAGATCCGCGAAATGGAGGAGGAACGCAACCGCACCGAACAGCGTTTACAACAATTACAGAAGAATCTTGGTGAGACTGAAGAAAGCAAACGTGGCTCCGATGGCCGGCTTAGCAGTGCACAGACTGCCCTCATGCTGCAGGAAGAAACCATTCGTCGCAACGAACGTGAGCGAAGAGGACTATTAGAGAAAGTACACACTTTGGAACGCACTCTGCAAGCAGCTGAAGTCGACAAGCGTAGCCTGCAAGATAGAATCAACAAACTCACACAAGCTGAAGCTAAGCTGGAAAACGAGAAGCGACAATTGCGCGAGACTCTAGAGGCATCGGACAACCGTTCTACTCAACTGGAGTTGAAACGCCGTTCATTGGAAGGTGATCTACAGCGTATGCAGCTCTCTATGAACGACAAAGTAACCGAAAACCAGGTACGAACCATGAACGTGAATGTTCAGTGTAATAGCTATGAACCAGTGTATAAAATTTAGAAAAACTGGTGTTTTGGTTTAGACAGGTTTATACATGGAGATATGTTTTACTAGTTACAATGCAGGCTCTTTCACACCAAAAACAAGATTTACTGTAAGAGAAAAAAATATATAAATCTGTTTCTGGTCCATATGCAAGCATCAGTTTAAAATAGGCCACTTTTTTTCCGTATTTCAAGAAAAATCAAAAACAAGATGTAAAATGAAAGGAAGAATTGGAACTGTGTACTGGGAAAAAAAATGCATCACCACATCATTTTTTGGTGGATCGAACAATCTGATTGGTCATCTGTTTTGTCATGTGACAGGAAGTTAATATTTTTCCCATCATTCATCAGGTATTACAAGACCGTATTGATCACATGGTTCGTCAAATCCAAGACTTGGAAAGCAAGAACACCTCCTTACAGCTGACAGTTGATCGTTTATCTCTGAGCCTTGCTAAGACCGAAGAAGGAGAAAATGATCTCAAGGATAAGGTTAGTTTATCTATACATAAATAATTTGCATAATTCTGTGCTTTATATTATTTTATTTTCGCTAGAATTTATTTATGCTGAAAACCATAAATTGGGTTGACACATGTAATTTATGTTAAACATCTGTTAAAAAATTAATAAAAGTTTAATTTTATGTGAAATATGTTGACCTATATGCTCTATTAGATACGCATGTGCTACATGCATCTCAGAGATTTGTCGATGGTTAAAATAATTCATATTTTGATATTACAGAACATAATGATTCCAATTTATTGCTTCCATGGGAGATGCGTTTCTGAAGAGCAAATACACTCTGGTCAAAAATCATTGTAGATATTCAGTCACTTACCAAAGCTGTTGGCAATTTTGTGATCTTCTGTAGATTCTTTCTCAGTTGATTTTACCGACTTTATTTTTTTACGGTACAGGTACAATCACTCTCAATGTCCTTGAGTGAGCAAGACATGACTGGAAAAGAAATGCAGGAACGCATTGCCCAGTTACAGCACGCTTTGACTAGCAGTGAGCACGACCGTAGAGTCTTACAGGAACGTCTTGATGCCGCAAGACAGGCCGCTTCTGAATCCAAGAAACAGAACCATCAACTGATGGAGCGCGTACAGTTGTTCCAGGGTGACCAATCTGAGAGCGAAGTACGACGAATGGAATTAGAAGGACAACTCCGTGGTGCTCAGACAGTAAGTTCCATTTGATCAGTTTTATCCTGAAAGCATGTAACCACTAAATACAAACTGTACTTTTTAACAATATTCTGCTTTTTTCAATACTTTTGCTAAAACTAACCAGGCTAGTACATCACATTTATTTTATATTCTTGAAGACATTTAGCGGCGAAAAATAAATGTAAAAAATAACAATTCCATATAGACATATATTCAGATTTCTGATATTTAATGTTGTGTGTTCATTGACTGACTCTCTTTTCTTCCCTCACTAACAGATGATCAAGCAACGACAAGAGGCCGAAGAGGAAGCCATGGCACGTATGCACAGACTACAAGAAGAGAAAAGGAACCTCCATGAGCGTGTTACTACCTTGCAGCGTGCATACGCTCATTTAGAAGCTGAGAAACGTGAAATTGAACGTGGTGCCGGTAGATTGGAGAAAGATAAGACTGCATTAAAGAAGACACTGGCAAAGGTCAGTATATTTTATTGTTGTTACTTTTTTTTTAAATATAACAATATGAATGTAGCTATTTCTTTGCAAGATTGAATATGGAGAGGGAATATGGTAATGTGAAATATTATTTAAATCAATATTTAAAATTTACAGGTTTTACTATAAAACAATGGTTTTCTATTTCTGTGTATTTAATTTAGTTGAACAATCACTAAAAAAAAAAATTTGAAATTGTTCGCAAAATTTTTGCTGTGAAAATGGTCAATGTGGGTCATGAGTTTGTTAATATTTAGAATTTACTAATTTGTTGTATCTTTTTATTTATTTTCTCATCTAAGGTTGAGAATGAAAAGATTCGTAGTGAGGAGGAAGCTCTGAGAGCTTCGGCTGATAGAGGGGCATTTGATAGATCCTTGTCAACCTTGGAAACTGAAAACAACGAAATGCAGCGACAGATCCAAGCTATGCAGGCCACATTAGCTGAAACTGAACAACAACATGCTCAAAGGTACTTTTAATATGATATAATCCTCTCCATGTACTGTTACAATCTTAATACTAACCACCGTTTGTGTTGCAATCCAGAAATTACTGTAAAATACTTTATTTTAGCTAGAATTAATTTTCGCTCAAGTTTAATGTTAAATATAGAAAAAGAGGTATGTTCACTGGATTTCATTTTCACTGAATCCATTCCTTCAGCGAAAATAAATTCTAAGTGAAAATAAAGTATTCTACAGTAGTTCAAACCACAAAGTCGTGAGTGTGATGAATGTAGTTCTATTTGAAAATTCCACACAAGATAAAAAATCAAAGTCTAAAAGTATATTTACTCATGATCTAAATACAATTTAAGTAACAAGAAATTCATTTTGAGGAAACAAAAATCACTGGAAACATCTCTCTCATTGACACGACACATTTCCAATGCACAGAGCCATTTTGGCAATATTTGCCTCAAGCTAGGGTGCCATCATTATGACCTAGAGAATTTGACCTTTTTGGCTCCCTAGATCACTCATTTTAAAGCCAACATTGCGTTTTATCACCCTAACAGCACAGCAAAATCTGTGTATGTGTATGTGCATGTTGCTGACTGAAACATGGTGATAGCTATAGTACATTCTTAGTTATTAGTGCAAGTAGTTGGTATTGGGGGGTCAGTGGTTTGTGGTGTCCTGCGTAAAGTTGTATATAATAAGAGGGGTAGCTGGTACAGTTTTACAGGAAATAAAAAGGGCTTTTTACAATTTACCGTACAAGGAAAATTGAATTTTGCAGTGAATTGTGTCATCTAGGCGTTTTACAGTTTTGAAAATGTAATTTCCCTGGATTATTCTTTGCAACCTTTTTTATTTGGATGTAAATTCTTGTACGTACCGAGAAAAATGACTCATTTTTACAGTGTACGAAACAAATATTTGATTGATTACGTTGTACGAACAAAAAAAATTGCAATTACATTGAACAAAAATAACCCTTGTCCCCCCTCTAATAAGGGGCATGTTATACATTAAGTTAAAGTTGATACAATATAGAAGTGATTTACATTAGTAGTAAGGCTACGGAACACCACAGACAAAATACATTCTTACACACAATAATGATGTCTTCTGGAATCTTATTTTATCTCAGTTTATTCGAGTTCAGGTGCAGTTATGACTTTGTTTGTTGTCTACTCAATCTATTAATTTTGTCAATTATTTTAAGTTATGAACCATTTTTTTTAATTGTGTTTCTTTCCAGATTGATTGATCTGACCACCCGTCACCGTCAGGAAGCCGGTATGGAAGTTGAACGTCTGAAGACTTCACAGATTCAAGCCGAAAGAACTCTAGAAGCACGCGAGCGGGCTCACAGACAACGTGTCAAGGGGCTTGAAGAACAGATCAACACGCTGAAAGATCAGTTGTCGCAAGAGATCCGCAAACGCCAACAGTTCATCTCTCGTAGCGGCCGTGCTAGCGATGACATCCGTGATCTGAGATCTATCCTGAGTAAGTCCTAAAGAACTGGAAAGAGTTTTCTTAACGGAAAAAGATGAATAGTCTAACACGTAATACAAATTGTACTTGCAGCGAGGATATTGGGATAACGAATATTGAATCATTTAAAAACCTGCTTAACATTCTTTTCTATCTACTTTTTTTTCAACTTATTATAACTTATTTTTTTTATTTCAATTTTTCTTGAATTGCTAATTAACCGACTGCGTGCTTTTTCGTCACTTTCTTCATGCAGATGATTCTTTGAACACTGTTGCTCGCGACCCTTCTCTTGACCCCGTGCTGCTGGAACACGAAACCAGGAAGTTGGACGAATCACTCGGGTACATGACTGGACACTCTCCACCGACCAGTTTGTCATCAAGTCCATCTTTGAAACGCCGTACAAGAAGTAGTTCCCCAATGCGTCTCGGCCGTACACAATCCACTCCACTATCAGGTACTAAATACTACTACAACTGAAATAATAAAATAATATCAACTTATAAAACTCAGTATCTGTGGATATAATTGACTAAATTAGTAGCAGCAAGTTTCATTTTTACATAATTCACATAAATCTCCTAATTTGGAAGATTTTAGTACGCTAATATTCTGAAACATTTATTCTTGAATATAAAGTTTTTTGCAAGTCTTGTTTTTTTGCAAGTAATTGGCTTCTTCAAATGTTACTGAATATGTATAATTTGTGGATGAAATTATACGAATCTATCAGGAATAAAAAGTCATTGCGTAATTACCTTACAAGGTTCATTAACACTTGATGGAATTTATTGAGATTCTTAAAGGGTCATATGCTGCATTTTAGCAAATTTGGTTTTGTATTGCGGTATATGGGAAAACAAATTCACAGTTGTTCCCCGTGAACATATTGTCACTTGATTTTGCTGCATCTTCAGACATTTCATCTTTTAGCTCTAATACTTGCTAATATTTTTTCATATTCACTGATATCATTATTCATCATTTCTGCTTACGGTAATCATTCTTGCGTCTTTCCTTTTTAACAGGTGTCAAATCACCCCACGGCAGAAGAACAATAACCAGTCCTATCCCACTTTCCTCTCGTTCGCGCAAGTACTAGGAATCCACCTTTTAAGCTAAAGATCATATTGGTGCTGTTTTCTAATGACCACCCGTTCAAAAAAAAGCTGCAAGGTTAAGTTATTGTCCACCTGTTGTACTGAAATATATAAACCATTGGTTGCCCCTGGGTGGATGAATTTTTTTTTTTTTTATTTGGGTGATTTTTTTTATCATTTCGATATTATTAGTTTACTTGACCGCTTCATGATTGGTCTGTATTTTGGAAGCGATGTTAATTTCACTAGAGGAAATTTGAATTTCGTTAAAATGCTGAAATACAATCTATGAATGTTGGCGGAAAGTTCAGATTGATTCTGACAGGAATTTCAATAAGCTTTCCAGTATTACAGAACAGTATTACCTAATCTTCCCAGCATTCTTTAGTTACTTCTTTATTCAAGACCTGGTTTGGCGTTTTACGTGTTTTTTTATGGGACACTATGTTCTTATGCCTGTTGACTGGTCCCTTCCACCCCTATTGCTTTGTCAATGGTACATTCCATCCATTATAATCACTTGACATTCACACCAAGGTATGGGAGTGGGACGGAACCTTTTTCTGTGTGTTCTTTTTTTTTTTATTTTAATCCTGTTTACAGTTTTTTTAGTGATGTGTTATTAATTATATTAATTCTTGTTGAGAAACCTGGTGTTTCGGAACCCGATTTGAGGCATGGCTTTACTTATTGTATCTAGCAAAATTGTACTGTAATATTTTGTGAAAATTTAGATTTTATTTCTAATATAACCCAGTTACATATTTTTTTAGTAGTTTGTAGAAATGGATGAGAATGTAATTAACCACTAGTGCTTTCCGGATGGATTGACAGTGGATTTATTTTATCCTAAAAGACCAAAGTTCTACATATCCTGTACACTCTGTAAATTGTTTTTAACAACTATTATTATATTAAGCAATAGTAATGTGATTAATTAATTGATTCCAATGATTCTGCAAACTTGCATATTGGAACAAACTTCAGGAATTGTGGATGCTGTGGAGCGTTTCCCAGACAACCACCTCGAAGAGCTTAAAATGTAAATCTTGAAATTTCTGTTATCACAGAGAAATATTCCCTTCTATTTTGTTCCTATTTGCAGTGGTATGCATTCCGTATTTCGATATGTGTATATTTGTATAGTTAGTGCGAACATATTAACCAATAAAATTGGTTTCAAATTAAATTAATTGAAAAAGAATCGAATGTAATTAGATTTGTATCATAATGCCGTCCAGATGCAGAATAAAGAGTAAAATTATTAAAAGACGTAATTAATTGAACCATTTTTCCCCACAAATTATGATAATAATTAATTTAGTGATTTTACTTTTCTAAATTGAGATGTAAGATCTTTCTGTAAATGACATTGTAAATAAGACCACAATTTCCAACTAGACTGGTTTTCTGTATAGAACTGCAGCCGAAACGTTTGTGATGATAATTTTGTACAGTAAAGTCTTATAAGGCACGGATTTGTCAGAGTGCTGAAAGACTTGGAAAGATGTGTATAGATATGTTTAGCCCACCAACCCAGCAGTTGTAACCCTATATGGGTTAATCTATTCTACAGGGGGTGGACAGGTTTGATATAGATGGGCTGAGAGTAACAATATGGTTATTATTGTATGTTTCGTGTTCATAGAAGATCCAGTTTACAATGTGATCACATTTAGGTAATGTGTATTTTTAAAACAAAAAAAAATGAAAGAAAGTTTTTATCATACAAGATTCCAGAAGACATCATTATTGTGTGTAAGAATGTATTTTGTCTGTGGTGTTCCGTAGCCTTACTACTAATGTAAATCACTTCTATATTGTATCAACTCAAATTGAAATAAAAAATGCACTGTTTGCTTTTAACTTAATTTATGTTTCAATGTCCCATTATTATCAACTTTGACACCATTTCAATTCTTACGAAATACTATCATTATTTTATAAGCAGCGTTTATACTCTATTAGGCACTGAAAGCTCATTTCACACTACCCTTGAATTGATAGCTATGACGATAATGTTGCAAATGAAATGAACATAGGAATTACCTACACCAGTCGCGAATATATCAGGCTTTACAATTTTTGATTGAAGTGCCATAATAGACAAGTCGTGTTGTAATGACCGTCGTCCAAAACCTTTAATATGGATTTTGTTTGATGTGTACATTGCATAACATTTTCATAAAATGTTGACACTGCCGAATAACGACAATCATTTTTAATAATGGTAAAATAAATTTTCAGTTCACTGCGATATCCCCTGTTATGTGTGAAAGCAAACATTAAAACAGGACAAACATAATAGCATCATAATGATGTCAATCATCACGTGGGATTCAACAAACATGAAAATATTTTGGGGTGCATGTATTTACTAATGAGATACACATTTTATGACTGTCAATTTTTATACAGTTAAAAGTATTTCAATGAAATATTCCCCACTCAAATTCAATCTCAAAATCAAATTTCTGTGGCAGACATTTAGTACGTAGGCGTGAGAATGCCCTCGCCAACCGAACAACATCAAACTTGGTAGATCTCGCACTGAAGTAGATTTGCATACTGTCTAATGTGATAACCCAGTATTTGCCATTTCTACACTTGCATAATATTTAATTTGATTGAAAAAAAATTCAAAAACTGAACAAGAGACTGTATGCAAGTCTCCTATTGATTAATTGTACTCAGTCTGAAATAAGAATGTATTGAAAACAATATTTGCCATCGCATGGTCTACAGTTACAGTGTATGTAACACCATACTGGATGCTTCATGCGGGGCTTCATGCACAGTTAACAACTCCCCCCCCCCCCCGCTCTAAAGAACGGCATCAACAACCGAAGGAAAATGTTATGGTCGCGTAAGTTGCGCCCTCCGCGGTGGTGGCTGATGCCTTTCGGTCGGCGAGGGCGCCACTCACGCATTCATGGGGTAACCAGACCTGCTGAAAAATAACGACGGAAATGTTAGAATGCTCGCTCGCTAATTCAAGACGATGATAATATTGTGGCGGAAATATTACAATTCGCATTCTGGGAATGTAATCATAATATCGCAAACTAATATCATTCTGGCAGTTCTCCAAAGACAAGAACTGAAATGTAAACAGCATAAAAAATATGACGACTTTTTGCAAAGTTATGACTAGTTCCCGCATTTTCAACACGTGGATTTAAATTTCAAGTGAACCTTTTCGCGGATAAAACTTCATGAGGAGGGTGACTGAGATCATTGCACCGTTAAACACCGTATCATACGTCGTATCCTCGGGGCGGACATCCGGGCAATTTCTACCGCCTGGCAACCCTCGCGGTGAAAACAAAGACCAAAAACTCGCAGAAGACGGTATTTTGGGATGTTTGTTGAGACTCCCCTGAACAGTGTAACAAGATTAGTCCTACGTGTGTAACATATATAAATTTAGTTGTTCAGGATTACTTCAAAGTTGAGTTTGTGTTGTTTTCTGGAGTTTTCACCAGCTCCACCGGCGTTCCACAGCAGCGCGCACAAAGCCCATAGAAATACGTGGTACAGTGACGCGCGTCTTAGCAACGTAGAACGTCTGTGACGTAGTTCCGCCCCCGAGGATACACATTAACGGTAGCCAGCATGAATATTGTCAGAAATACATCTTTGTTAACTCGGAACAAAAAATCTTCTTTACACATTTAGTTCATTGTTCATTTCCAATGCTTGTTGCATAATACATGGACAACGCCAGATTAACACAAGGCTATAGATGTCGGTAGAGGGTGTTAGTTACCTTAACACATATTCACTCTACATTAAAGTGGGAGTATCGTCACCTGCGCACGCGCGGGAATTGAGTCCCAAGCGACGATAACAACACACGCTAAAAACACATGGGTGGACGCCTGTTTGTAAACAATGACACGCTATGGCCACCTGACGCATGCACAGGTGACGACGGCTTTAAAATGTTTTCAAATTGCACTGCATTATCGCCTGGAAATACCGAACAAATAAATGTTGGTGAAATTCAACCATTCAGGCATTACATTTTGTTGACAATTTTCTTATTATTTAAATAATCGAAATGATTTCAATGTGAGCATATATTTATGTGGAAATAAAGAATATATTGCGATATGCATAGTATATTAAAGACGCAATATGAATGAGAAAATGTAATTTTTAATATTCAAATTTGATACTTTATATTGATGACGTCATTGGAATATGATTTATCATAAAACGAAGACGCTGTTCTTGTTGCACACATCTGAATGAAAATCTCTAATACGCATGTGCAGTCGTTGTAGCCTTACTACTAATGTAAATTTCTTCTATATTGTATCAACTCAAGTTGAAATAAAAATGCACTTTTTGCTTAATCTATCAACTTTGACAAAATTTCTTTTTATTTGATTGAAATACTGCCTTTATTTTCCGACAGAGCAACAATTCTGCTGATAAGTCATCGATTTTTTCAGTGAGGTGCCGAAACCCCAGTAGAATTAAATCTCTATGACTGATAATGATTATCCTACAAACAAAACAAGAATAGGAATGGCGCTTATTGGCTACGTATTTTATAATCGACTGGAGTGTGTCGTTGGTGGCGCCTGAGTTTTGACAAGCACGCCACCAACGAACGAAACACATTGATGCTTCGAGAACGGATACCTCAATTAACAATATTTATTCAGAAATATAGAAATTTAACAGTTCACCGGTTATAGTTAGTCTTTCTAGCGGTCATTTATAAATCGCTAGTTTCTGGGAAATGTATGGGATTGACCACTTTTCCGTATTATTCGATGCACAAATGAGTAAGTGACCTACATGTTATTGATACCAAGTTCACGTTTAACGAGGTACTTTTTGTTTGTACATTCACATCTGAATTTGTTGAATCAGTGTTTTCAGTGTGCGTACTTTTTCACCACCAGTTCCCTTTTTTCATCACAAATTCAAAAAATAATGCTGTATAGTCTGCCCTTGTTTTTCAGAAGATTGGGACAAAACCAGGCAAATATTTTGGAGTGAAAACTTTGTCTGTTGGCTCCAGAAATATTGAAGAATATTAGAATAACTTGAAGAAAAATTTGGGCGAAAATTGGTATCTATCAAATCAGATACCATTTTATAAGAGAGATCCACGAGTTTCCCTTGTTATTTGAACAAGTCCACTTAATTTATATAAGAAATCATACTTATTTATTGTGATCTGGTCCTCTGCTTTTCTGATCAAGACATGGCCGTGCCATTTTTTTCCAATCAGGTACTTTACTTTGAGTAATTCAGCAAATACTTGTCATCGTTGGACAATCTTCTTACCCTGTATTTTTCTTTGTGAGCTGGTTAGGTCAAAACATATATAAATGACATAATTCGACGCATCGAAAGAACCTGTCGAAACAACGAGCTGATCTTTGATTGGGATGATTGTTAGCCAATCAGGTACAGTTTTGCCTATAACTCCGATATGGGCGATAATGTCGTGGCAGCATTTTTTTAAATCAACAATTACTCTGGGTTTTTTTTTCTAAAAAAAAAGTGCCAATAACTTTTTTTACATCTTTGTGTATGATCTTGGCCATCAAATATCAGTTAGCCTTAATTTATTCCTAGGCATCGAACTAATTAGTTCTAAACGGTTCTTTGTATATTATACATTTGTATATTTCACCACGTGTCTTCTATCTATTCAAAATATTAGAGTTTTTTTTTCTTTTAGCATTACATTCCGGTATTATCAGTATAGACACTATTATAATTTTGAAACATTCGGCGTCTCTTTATGTAACGGTATGTTTGTATGTAAGGGATATACAACTTTCAAAATTTTCTACACAACTTTTACAATTTGTATTTAATTGCTTAACACTCGTGTGTTGTACTTGGCCTAAAGTTATATGGAAAAAGAAGAAAAGTGTTTTGTGATTGTAAACGTCACAGGTTTTGTCAAGTGTGCACGTAAGATAGTGATCACAACGATGGGGGTTCACAATAATAAACACTCGATAACCATCGAGTTGCGATTATCGAAGTACGTCACAATGGAAATTACAACATTGAAAAATTCAACTACCCGGTTTTTTTCTCTGTGTACACAGCATAAAGGTCACTTAAAACAAAAGGTATATTATATGTTCTGGATTTATGCTTTGTTAAAGTGAAAATTCTGCATATTTCCCTGTTGTGTAATTACATCAATTACATCAATTAATTAAGACCATAGGCATATTAGTGAAAATACGTATCCCATGGTATAACACGTGTTATGCATGTGACAATGAACGGTATCACGTTCAACGCAAGAAAACTAACGTCAACAGCACAGCAAATTATTAGTATAAAAATTCCTATTCATAATCATGACAAAAGCATATTCTATATTTGTGTTCAATCACAGTCCCTCTATCATATGTGATAGAGGGACTGTGGCTCAATCCAAAAAATACGCACACGATTTAACTCCTAGTCTTATACATACTCATGGGCAACACTTTTAACATTGCTATGCTATATTAACCTCAAGAATTGTGCATACGCGACAAGCATATGTTCTTGCAGTGTACTCGACTGGCCTCATAGATGGATCGATTCAGCCTTCTTGATTAGATTCAATCAAAGTCACGTCTGAAGAAAATATTACAAAATATGCCCGAGGTCTGATTCTGTACATGTCTGATCTTAGCGCATGCGTGTATGTGTGACATGATATGAACAATCTATACATGTCTGTCTGGAATAGAATTCGCCAAAAGAAAAACGGCCGTCAGTTGACCACCTTGAGTTTAACATAATAGTAAATTCTTCAAGCAAATTGAAGATCAAACACACGCTGAAGATCTTATTCTGGACATGTCAAAATAAAGTCGGGCGTTTTTGATCAGAT